GTAAGCCATGGCGGTAATTTCCTCTATACCGACGCTGTTTGACCAACCGTACTGGTCGTGTAGAGAGCCATTCTTTGTAGGCTTGTGTCGTGTAGACTTGTGTCGTGTAGGGTCGTGCAACCAAGTTTATCCCCACGGTGTAGACTTGCGAGCGGTGTAGTGTGCTGTGATAGTATGAACGACGCTCCCTCTTTTTAGATGGAGCTTCGAAGTCGCCCGCAAACTGTGGGGGAGTAAAAGTCACCAAAATTTTCCCACGACGAGAAGGCCGGGCCTTAACTCCTGAATTATGGAACCTTAATTATAATGACCACCAAATTATTCTCTATCGATTCCAATTATTTTTGATTTTTTTAAGAATAACTTCTGCTCATCATTATTGACAAAAAAGAAAAATCGATTAAACGAAAACTAATTACTACTAAATTCTGATAATGTTCTTCTAAATTCCGCCAAATTACCACCTACATATTTATGAAGAAAAAAGTGTGAAAAGTTAATAAAAAAAATAATTTCTTCCAAATGCACAGTGCTCCGGGGCCCGCGATTAAACGGCTACGGTCAATTCGGTTATCGAGGTCGGTAATAGAACCCTACCGCTATCTCTCGGCATTTTCCGAACGCTGTTTTCATGCTTACTTCTGCCCATTATATATTTTCTATAATTTATCCCAAAATAATCAAGCAAACATCGCCAAATGCATCAAATAATCCACCTTATTCATCCCACATGATTTTTTGTTTTCATCGATTTCTACCTGTTTTTCATCCAAAAATTGCATCCACGCAACATCCACGCAACATACACACTACATCCACGCTATAGCATGGATGATAGTTTGATAGGGTTAGAATGCGCACTTTCGGCGCATGTAGGCAGAAAAGGCTATTTTTCAAAATAATGATAATTACCTATTACATCAATTTTTTTTAATACCATTTATAATTTGATTGACAACCAGTAATTAGTCCACCTATCATCGATCTTGTCATTTAAGACGTAATCATAGATGAATCACTGAGATGATTCTCTCATTTTCGATACAGGCTAGAATTGACTTATAATCATTATTTTAAAATGAAATTGAGTTATTTCATCTCAAATTATTATCGAAGTCCGTGAAAGGCGCCACAAATTTTAATGACCGACGAACAATCAATGGAGTAACACATGATAGTTATGTAAGCACATACTGAGTTTTGAGCATAATCATAGACGATGATGAATTGAAGAATGCCCTCCATGAAGCCGAAGTTTGGTTGATACCTAGACAGTTATGATGATTATTCGTTCGTATTTCAGTGACTATAGACCAATTCATCCCTAACGATGATGGAATGAATTAAAACATACGTTATCGCAAGATTTTTCGAAAGCAAAGTCACCACCACAAGCCCACAGAATAGCTTATATTGAAATAAATGAATTGTTTACACCGGAAAGGTAGAGTCTTTTTGATTTCTTAGCAATGATCCAGATTACCGAAACAGATGATGGAGAGAGATTGGTACAGAACAGTATCGGAAATTGAATCATCAACAGAAATATACTGTTGACACCATCTTAGAGGTATTGAACAATGAGAATGATCCCGAGGAACGATATTTTTTCATTGATGGATCATGGAGTCAGGTAAAACTTTCGTTCTTACGACCCTATATCGTTGGCTACGGAGTAAAAACAACTCTACTCTCTTATAGAAAAACGATTCATAGGGCAGTTAAACATCCAATTGCAATTTACACGGATTCATCACCAACTATTAAGCCCCAGTCGACTGAAGCAGAGTATCGAAGGAGCATCAAAATGTTCATCTAGGATGAAGCACCGATGCCATCTCCACATGCTCGGAAAATGATCGATCGCATACTTCGTGATATATTAGACAGTGATAAACCGTTTGGAGGAGAGATTATTCTATTAGATGGAGGTTGTCATCAGTGAAAAACAATGCAACCCGTAGTGAATTGGTTAATTTACCAATCAAATTTAGTCAGCTGGCGCCCATTTTTTCCACGTGCACTCTGAAAGAGTCCATTTCCCCAATTTCTACTATCTCTTTGGGATGGAACATCAAATATGCCTGACTGTGAGATATACCTAGCAGATGAGTGTATCGCACCTCCCGATGCAGATATCGCAGAAAATTTATTTGGTGAGGTGTTTAAGATCGAAGAATTGGACAAATTATCGAAATGGGCAATTTTATCACCAAGAAAAGATGATGTTGATGATAGAGAAAATTGAAAGAAAATTGAAATGTAGTGCGTGTCGATACTGTAAACAATTATATTAAGGGAGACATGAATGAGGCAATGGTGTCAGAATATCTGGAGACATTAACGCTCTCATGTTTGCCACCTCGCGAATTACGATTGAGGGTGTTGTACTGCCGTGATGCTAATTAGAAACCTTTCTAGAAATTCAGGATTATGTAACGGAATGTAATTACTCAGTTCAGAATTGATGAATCATTCACTAAAAAGCTCAATCTTGACTAGAGATCAAACGGGAGAAATTGTTTTCATTAATCCTATCACTTTGTATAGTGAAGATACACAATGAAGGATATATCATTGCAATCCTCTTAAAGCTATTCAATTAAAAATATTTTTAAGTAAGTCACTATTTACTAATTAAATAACTATTTGATTAATTTAGTTTTTTGATACATTCGCAGCAGTTAACTGTTTCTTAACAACGATATAGTAGAAGCAAATGAATATACTCTTACTAATAGAGTTATATAAAATTGAAGCCGAAAATTGAATTATTTCATTCTACTATATTAATTTTTTGTGACTATTGAGAAGGCAAAATAATCTTTCTAATCTGATTATACAAAAAAAAATAATAATTAGTTGGGGTTACCAATATCAGAGTCATCAGGCGTATTTTAACGAATACTTATTTCAAATTGAATTGCTTGTAAACGAGTCAAGTAACAAGTCATTTATTCAATTCAATATTTAGCACTCACAATTACATATATATTACTATTAACTAATTTCATTTGTTAGTTTCAAAACATTTTTTTTTATTTCTTAAATGTTTTTCTCCGCGTACACCCTCGCTGCAGCTATGATGCTAAGGTAAATAACAAAGAGCTCACCTTGCGTCACCAGATAAAATCATATTTTAATTAAAATTATTAATGGTGGACCTATATTAGTTAGATATTTACCCCAGCTCGTCTTATACATCCACCATAAGATATGGTAAATGACTAAATTCCGCCTTACGAAAACTGGAAAAATTGAAATTTCCATTCGAATTAAAATGTTGGACGGATTAGAGCAATAGCAAGGAGGTCTGTAGTGACTCAGTATTATGATTAATAAAGTCGGGTACTCTCGGAGAGCGGGTAGCGGTCTGGGAGGGAATTATCCCTCACTAAATGGTGATATGTGACAGACAGCATCACATCGTTATAAAGCCTGGCGGTTACCAAACGGGGGAAGTAGGAGAGGGGTTGACCAATATTACCAGGTACCAATTGATTTTAGGTGTTCGGCCTCATTACCATAAAAACACACTTATGACGCTCATATCGCTTCTAAGTAGAGACATATAAAACTCAATTTTAAACAAAGTCAAAGTTACTTATGCATCATATAATGTTATGGAAAAATCATTGCTTCTATTAAATCAACTTCTCATTGACAAAATGAACTGATGGACAATCAATCACATAACGAAACTCACGGAAATATGACAAAATTTTGTGAGTCGAAAAAAATCATCACGTTGTATTTATATAGAGGATTTTAATTTATTTGTTTATTTATTTTTATTCATCAATGACCAATATTATTTGACCAATTTATTGTTTCTTGGTTACTTTTTGAGAATGATCTTTCTCAAATGGTTGACATAATAATGGTGAATGACGATGGAGTCAAAAGGTCTTCATGTGACTTATAGAAAAATTATTTATAATTTTTTTTTAATGGTATTTTCATATGCATCTAAACATGTATATAATGAAAAGAAACAACAAAATAGGAATTAAAGCGGGAACCCGCTGGAATTCACGATTACTAATTAGCCGCATAAGGAGCACTGTTGAGCGCGCGAACAAGAAACGCGATAGTGATACTAGTTATTGAATCTTTCTCTGCGTGTGTCAAAAATTTCCTGGTAATTTTCGGCGTTGAGTTCTCAAAAAGATGTTCACGAGAGTTCTCATAGCCGCCTTGAGGCGGCGCTGAGATGCGCGTACGCGCGTATTACACTTTTCGTCTGTCGTGAAAAATCAATGACCTCATCGCCCCTCAGGTTTCGCTCTCCCAAATGTTCGAATATTCTCAAAACCATTAATCAATGAACCTTTTAAATAATGAAAAAATCGAGAATCATGGGAAATAATAATAGAAAATTGTCGCAACCATTTTGAGGGGTAAATGAGAAGGATAGTAGGAATACAATAATAAAGTTGACAGCGCATACGTCTCGACTAGTGGGACGAGTGTAACACAGCCGCAATAGCGGTATGTGAAAACCAGCCAGGCAACTTCCAGCGCTCGACTCGAATGCGAACAGCCGAGACTCGACCGAACCGTAGAGATCAGTTCATGTCGCCGCTTGGTGCAGGACGGGTTGTTGTCGTTAAACTTTTTCTATCTCGTGTATTTAAACAATGGTTGCGTCTAAGGCTTAACGTTAAAATTACCACTGTTTCATAAAAATCATAAACCTATGCATATATTGTTAGAGGCTATATATGTATATGCATGTATGTATACGTACGATGCATAAGCACATTATAAACTTTTAGTTCGATAATATGAACATAAACAAAAGATGAATCGTGAATTATAAGGTGAAAAAATAAATATAAAGTTTTGTGATTTTCTGTGAAAATTTTGAGTTTTGAATTGCGAGCAGTGGTGTATGCGACTTCGACGAGAATTCTCTGCCATTTGTTTTTTTGTTTTTTTTTTATTTGAGATGCCTGTACTATACCGGTCGCCGTCAGTGAGGTACACGCGGGGATAAAATGGCGCTTGGCCTCATCCTACGCGCATCTCTATCGACCGTGACAAATTATTCAGTGGAGTAAAGCAATCCGTGGAGTTTTTAGGAGAATTTTGGGGAAATTTTTGTTGTGGCGAATATGAGAAGAGCATTGTGAGGAAGATAAATCAAAGATTTCGCCGTAGTGAAAATTGAGGAGGTAGAAAGGCTGCAATAAATGAATTGTTGAATTTTGGATGTTTTGGAGTATCCTTTGGTGAATCACCGATTTGTTCATGATCTACTAATCTCAGGTAGGTAGAATTATTTGATGTGAATGGAGTGCAATGGTGGCATGGAGTTTTTTTTCTTAATTTGTGCAGAATCTGAGCGAAAGTACGATTTAGCCCGAAAGCAAAAGAGGGGGTTTCTGAAATCAGGTGATATTTTCTGGTTACCGACATTTTTTAAGAATTCTAGAGGTCTAGAAATAGTTATGTACGATAGAATTTCTACAGGGGGAAGAAACGAAATTTCTTCTCTTCTCCAGTTTTAGCCCGTCTCAATCTAGTGATCACAAATTTTTCCAATTTTCGTCGGTGCTGAACTGTCTATTTTATCTTACTTTTTCAGCGAGTGGTGGATAGCGTTGCCTTTGTTCAATCTTTATGAAGCACTAGTTATAGCGAACTTGACAATGATGTTCGCAAAATTTGAATCAAAAACTGGAATGAACACTTTCGAAGGGGATAGTAAATCTTGTGGTTTCAGCAAGTTTCAATCATCTAACCATCAATTTACAGACCGTTTTCTGAGGAAAAAAATTGAAAAAACAGTAATCCGTCATTTTTACCAAACGTTACATTGTTATTCCGTCAATTTTCTATAAAATTTCAAAAACACTCTTCTTGCATACTTGCTACGGTTCACACATGTTATTTGTATTGATTTTTTTCGTTGAAGATGGTCCACATACATAAATAGCCAAAATCTAATTGTTGAAATTTTTTTACAAATTATTGATGGAATGTGGATGCCAAAGATTGTGATTGCTACAAAATGTGTAAAATTCATGATTTTAACTGGCAAACTTCCCCTTTGAAATAACTATTTTTCACTTTGAGTTTGTAAACTTTCAAATTAACACTTTCTGAAGGTTTAACTTCCGAATTTCAAGTCCTGTCTTTCGGAATTTCACGGTTAATGTGTGTATTTTGGAACATAACTGGAGATGTCAGGTCGCGAAAAATAATTTCATGTCACTCGGCCGGCCCTATCCTAGTACTTTTATTGCTCTAAGGAAGTAAGGCCGCGTATCGGTTTTCTTTTTTACTTATCTCCCTTGGGCAATAAAAATACTCGGTTAGTCGGGCCTTGTCATATAAAGTAGCATATGCCACACGGTCTGAGAAGTATTTTAGCAACGGCGCAGATTTTGACCAAATACGTTGCCAAAATAGTTTTCAACTCCTCTACTTATACTTTTTTACTTGTTTTGTACTATTTTCTTTTTATTTGTACTGTTACTACTTTTTTGTGTAGATATTCGAGGTACTTGAAATTATTCGACCATAGAAGAGTACGGTATATAACAGATGTTTATAAATTTGAATCGACTTTTGATTGCGTTCTGATAAAATTTCAAATAAAAATCAATAATTTTTTTAGAGGAATATATTGGGATTCTACGAAAATCGTTTACGTCTGTAAACTATAAATATGTTCAAAAACATAGTTACGCTGGGAAAAAAAAACTTTTTGAGAAGTGCATTGTTATTTGTGTGAAAAACTCGAGCAATAAATCTGCAAGAGAACAATGTCTTGCACTAAGAGAGAAAATTTGAGCAATGAATTCTCCACCGAACGGCGACTCCTCGAAAACTTGTAGGCAGGTGAACAGGTAGGTTGGTTTAAGGAATTACATTGTTATCATGAATACATTATCTGATAATTTGGAACTGGTGTATAATTTCTTGACAGACGTCTTTCTGTTCTTAGAGTATGATTTCAGTTTATTGTGAATTTTCGAATCATCGAGCTTCTTGATACAAATAGAGACGCCCTTTACCGCATACTTCTCGTCTTTCAGGCGAACACAAAATCCCCTGAAAAAAATTCTATTCTCTTAGTACAAGATATCGTTGTGTTGCGAATTCTTGAGAATGTGTTCTTTAATACAATTGAAAACGCACTTCTTGCTAAACTTATGGCAGAAAAATAGATAGGTCTGTGTTTACAATCTTCGAAAGTACGATTAATTGCGGAGAATCTTATGCATACTTTTCACTTCTTTACTCCCATTGCGCGAACGAGTTTACGTGAGTCACAAAAAGCTTCGAAAGAGGGATGGGTAGGTAGTAGTGGATTGTTATCGGTTTCAGTAGAAAGTCGTAGCGGTGTCAGGTACCGCTGTATAGGGCGACCAATTTTATGACTACCCTGACAGAAACATACAATATGTTACTTTTCAGGTATACCGATACCTGCAGCCATTTGTCCCCTATATTCGTTACGCTTGCCTGTTTTCGGCTTTTTAGACATGCAGGGAAGGGTAACAAAGAAAACAGGAAAAAGGGAAAAACGCATTTATCGCAGTTTACTATACATTTGTTAGAGAATTAAAATGTTCTAATTGGAGCAGTGAGTATACCAAAAGCAAGTATGTAAAAATCTAGCGATTTCGTTAGAAAATCTTTAGTTGCAATACCCCAGAATCTTCAAAATTATCAAATATTTGCCGATTGCTTAAACCCGGTTGCACAATAACGAGGAAGAGAACCTTTTTAGCAAAATCTCGAGTGCGCATTTTTCAATGAATTTTTCCCGATCGCTGTCGTGTAGAAAAGCGTGAAGGAAATATCCGGTTAATTTTGAAGGTTGAGTGGTATTAGGTGGTTTTTTTTTCTCATTAAGATTTTTCTCCTGGCACCTTCTACGAATAACTTGCCTATTTGGATCAACACAATCTATCATCTTCTGTCCGTGAATTTTTGACAAATTTATCAAAAACAACTGATAATTTACAGAGAAATATTTGCTTCAATAAAGAAACACCAACGTGAAGGTGTCGTGTAACCACGAATACTGCACGACGATTTGCCAAAATCGGGATAAGAAAAATAACCTATTTTGTTTTCAGCGGACATATCTCAACAAATAAAGCGGCATTAAAAAATTTAATTGTAATGAGTTTTTGTATGAAATCGGTTTTACTCAACATCTCTACTGAAAAAAAATCACAGAATCATTACAAAATGTTTTAATGAAATGAGCGGGAAATTCATACCATTTTCGATGTTTGGTCGTATATAATTTTCTAGTAATTTCCATTATTACGTATGAAATAGTATATTGCTCACCTAGGGAGGAAAAGTAGACAAGTCCTTCCCACGTGCAAAACTACCACCCGAGCCGAAGGCGAGGGTGGTATGCACGTGGGAAATGCTTGTCTGATTATCCTCCCGAGGGTTGCATACGATTTTTCTGTCGATACGCGGCGAAAGTGACGTTTCTAACCGAACGAAGTGAGGTTAGAATGCTCACTTTCGGCACATGTAGGCAGAAAAAATATATTAATCATAATATAATCACTTAATCGATTTAATGCAAAGTAGTAGATTCTACAAAACCATTCTCTGGTCAAACTCATTTATAAAGACCATTTCCGTATGCTTGGTTAAAGCGCCATATTTAATGAATCATAATGCCGCCCTCATTAGATATTATATATGATTTCCTTGGGTTTCGTCCATGGTAAACCAGGCCCTCGTATCTATCGTGACTAATGAAACATCTGAAAGAAAAATAAAAAGAAATTACATTTTCGAAAAGAGAATGACATAAACAATCGAAACAAATTACCTGCAGTTAACGATATATCTAATTTTAAAGTTCATTTTTAGTTACTTCGTTCTTCCTATGATGGAGTAACTGTGCCTTTCTTTCCGATTTTTGAGATCCCTTATGTTTACTTCATTTTTTTGTACATGCAATCATATTCCCTTTTCTCTAGGTTTCTTGCTGTAAAATAATTTATACGGGGAAAAAATAAATCGATTATATTCGGAACACCTAGTCGTAAAACGAAAAAATGTAAAAAGCAAAATAGTATATTATGCAACACGCGTTTCATACAAAATTTTATGTCATCGCGCCCGGAATCCGCGATTTAATCGAGCGAAGCGAGGTTAGAATCGCGCCATTACGGTCACCGATGGCATAAATAAATTTTCCGTCATAACCACATAGAAAGTTCGACTTCACTCCCCAAATGACGGGACAAAAATGGCTTATTCCATCCCTCAGATTTGTGTTGCTTTTAAGGAGCCTCGGAATGACATAACTCACATTCCTCTCGTTATTTATGAAGAAAAATCGAACTTTTCCGAGTAGTTATGACGGAACAAACAATGTGCAGGAAAGGAAACAGGACATTCAAACCCCTCTCTGTACCATAATAACACATACGTGGACTAGAATGCCGTGTTTTTCTCCTTTGGTTGACAATATACTATTATATCACTCGGCCTGCCTTAACCTCGTACTTTTATTCCCCTAGGGAGGTAAGTGGCTGCTTATTCCCTTTCTTTTTACAACTTATACGTCCCTACTAATTCGACCAATGAGAAATGAGTATTATTCGGAATATGGCCAATGAGAAATGGGGGTATGTTAAGTCTTACGCATCAAGTTAGCTGACATCTTACTTTTGACAACTCAATTTATGTGTATCACCTTTTAATAGAAGGACTCAATCTCTCCTGTAGCGAAAAAAAAAGTGATTGAAGAGCCAAATTCGGACAATTTTCATTGTTAGTTTTTTCGAACTTTAAGGGGAGTTCAAACTGAGAGGGGACGTGATGAGTTCTGCCGATATAGAAAATTATGATTACATGTCTGGCAGGTGTAAACGTCGACAGCTCCTATTTCAAAATAAATAAGTTCGGGAGTTCCGGACTAATTAGAAACTCATGACAATTATTTGTCGCTTATTTCAAAAAGACTTTCTGTTCATGATTCATACCGAGTTCAGATGACGAAACTACAGCTCTCACTTCCTTAATAATCGAAAATCATTAAAATAAAGAATACACCTTAAAAAAAAGATTTAATTCACAGCAGAAGGCATGAGATCTATAATTTAAGAAAGAGGTTAGAAACATTTTATGTAATATTATAGATATATTTTCCATAAAACTAACATGAAATCTTCACAATGGTACGCAGAGAACGCGTTCGGTCTTGTATCCTTAAAAAACGAATAACAGAACAGCAATAACGCCAGTAATTTATCGACACATTAGCTTAGAATTTT